AAAAAAAAGTATTTTCCAATACAGTATGCCTCATGATAAATTTGGATTTAGATCTCAACTTCACATCTACAATATTTATAGCACAATTAACTTCCTCCCATAATTAACGTTTATCTTACTATTATTATTTTCCAGTTCCAAAACACAGCTAGGAAAAGTAAGTTCTGATTGCAGTTTAACAGATATTTGTGAAGTTCTCAGAAATGTTATAATTGGTGATAGAAATTTGGGTATTTCTCAGGCATAGATAAGGGGTAAAGTTTTCTAAATTTTTATATAACACTATTAACCGTATTTTACCAATTCAGAATCCATCAAGCACCTGTGCACCATTCGACAAATATAAACATGGCACTCCCATTGCACCTTGTGGAGCTATTGCAAACAGCATGTTCAACGGTGAGTTCCACGGTCCATTTTGAAAATGTAATACACATTCGTTAAAGAAAAAATATTGCAATTTTTACAGTGACTTAAAATTGATTCCGAAAAAGTACTGCCGAACTTGTTCAGACTTTCTCAAAAGTATTAAACAGATTCTTGGTTGATCAGTGTTTATTTAGTACATGTAAACATTATGATTTCGGGGATTCGATTCTAATATCTTCACAAATTAAGCTGGTGAACAATGGCCTGTGATCTTCTTTTTTTTTTAAGATTCCTTTCAGCTTGTCTTCCACCCCAATGAAGGGATGGCCATGTCTGTGCCTCTCCTGCGGACTGGGATTGCATGGTACACTGACAAAAATGTGAAGTTTAGGAACCCAGGGCCATATAATGAAAGCCTTTCTGCTGTCTTTGCAGGTCTGTATTGCAGGAAAAGCCATCTGTTTACAAATTGTCCAGAATTGCCTTTTCACCATAAATGTGTACCTTGATCATATTTTCAACATGAAGTATGACAATGGTCTTGTATTTAGACAGCTCTCAATTAGAACTTCTACAGAAACTTTCAGTTAACTCCTTAAACATTCAGACCTTTGTGCATGAACTTAGACTGTTAAATATACGTTTTGAATTTCCTCACTGCTGCTGTGAGTTTTTATACATTTCAAGTATTGAGAACAATAAAATACATTACAGGGTACAATGTTATTTCAGTATGATTAACATGAAGGAGAAATACACAAAGCTGAATCCAACAGCAGGGAAGAAGTATTTGTAATTGCAAAACCATAGAGCAGATAATGTGACGTATTTTAGAGACATTTTGAAAAGCAAGAAAGTTTTTTTTCTACAATTCTAGTATGGAAAACACTAATACTCTCCTTATATTTCCTGTCATGGTTCAAGGGAAGGATTTTGCAGAGTTTAAAACATAAAGTTCTCCCATATTGCATGGTTTAATCCTTGTAGAAAGAGTCTCCACATTTGTTTGATTTGTGTGTCAGGAGTCACATGTGAGCTGTCACCCAGCCATTGAAAGCAAGTCCTAATAATGTCCTTCTGGGTTCTCTAACTCAGGAACAAGTCAGCCATTCTATTGGCAGAAGCCAGTTTTTGAGCTGGATCCAACAGACACCAAGAACGATGGTTTTGTAAATGATGATTTCATTGTTTGGATGAGGGAGGCAGCATTCCCGAATTTCAAGAAACTCTACGGCAGATTGAGCCGCTTTGCAGCATTCGCTGATGGACTCCCCGGAGGAAACTACAGCATCCAGATTTCCTACAGTATCCTTCAGTAAAGAGTTTCCTCATCTTTTCTTCCCTTTGTCACATACTGTAGAAGTTCCAAGCATATTTGAAATGTGAATTATTGCAATGTGGACATAATTAATTCTCCAGTTACAAAAAGCAATTAGGAAGATGTACTTACACTAGGTCTGAATACAGTTATGTAGGTTATTTTCAAATTGCTAAAAAACTTCTATTTTTGCAAAAGCTTTATTAATGTTTTTTAATAGACTTTTGGGGTTTTCTGAGGCACAGGTAAGAAGTAAACTGTAAGTGGCAGGTTTAGGTGTTCAGTTCTAATATTCTGGTTTATTGTAAGTCAATACAGAAAACTCTCAAAGAATCACAATCACTTTCAATTAGAATTTTCTCTCTGGCTGACTTTGTATCATGTTATATGAATAAATAACCGTATTCATATTAAGTAAAGACTTTCCTTTTCCTTACCTGAAAATATTCTTATAAACCATTATTTATATGTTATTACGTTAGAATATTAAATTCTAATGTTGTAAGATAAAACTACAATAATTACAAGACCTAATTTAAACTAAAAAGTAAGTCACCACTGATGAAACATGTTCTATCTAATTTAAGCGATGCAATTCTGTTAAAACCACACTGTATCAAAAATAGTCTACAGAATACTGTGATTCTTTTATTTTTGCTCTGTGTAGTTTTTGGGGGGATCCTAATCCCCTCCTGTGCAGAATATCAGATGCAAAACATAGACTGTAGCCTGAAAATTTAAAAATACAAATAAAACGAATTTCCCTTAACTTTTGAAACTCAGATTTTCCTGTAAAATATTTTCAAGGCAAAAAGCTTGTGATCCTCTCCACAGTGAGCTGGTTTGGTGGTCAGAACAGGTTCCTGCCCATTGCCTACACAGTGACGGGTGGTGTCATCTTGATAGTAGCTATGATACTAACCGGCTTCCATCTGAAATTTGGGAAAAGGGGCTTGTACCTTGAAGATTGAGCCTCCTTTGGGAAGAATACGTTTTTGAGCCAGTAGTTGACTGAATGAAAATGTGAAGTACGATTCTAAGTTCTGGAATTCAAATACAATCTACAGTGCAGGACGTCCAGATCGCTTAGAGCAGTACCAATAGGTTTTGACATGGAAGTAAACTAAGAAGGTGGTGAGAGTGACTTGACATAACAGAAAACATGTTTGGGGCTGGTTAAGGTATTTGGGACGGGGCTGGTATTTTTAAGGAGTCTTATTTGCAAGATATCAAATGACCAATATGAATTTTATTACCTGAAATCTTCAACATTTTTATTTATTATCCCATCGTTGTGTCCCAGCATTCTGTCCTTAGCTGGCACTTGAAATTGAATGTTTAAAACATAATACAGAAAATGGTAAACTGATTTAATAAATTAGTTGGTTATTTTTTTAACAAACAGGCTAATCTGCCTCAAAGTCTCTTTTTGTTTAATTTCTAGTTTGCAACATTATCTCATCACACATAAACTTGAAAATGTGGAATGACATTGTTAGTTTAACATCTGGGTGATTAAACTAAAGATTAGTTAACTTTTGCCTTATTTGCTCTAAATCAGACTGCATGACAGATTTCAATTTTTTATTTTAATTATGGAGGTGGACC